CACTGGGGAACAACTGAAGGTTTGGAGGCAGAGGGTTTATTTGAATTGAGCTGGGCTTCTGGAAGACTGACTTGATATGGTAGGTATAATGGAAAGCCTGAACTACAGAAAAGACAGGGGACATAGAAATGAAGGGTTCACCAAAAGTGACAGAATATAGAATCAATGGAGCTTTACCATTTATTAGATGTGGGTCACAAGGAAGAGGAAGGAAGGAAAAGTCCCAGTGACATTGTGATAGCTGGTGGGAGGGAGGATGAGGCTGTCATTAATAGAAACAATAGAGAAGGAGGGGCAAGTGTGACAGAGATGATGACTGTACTTCTTTCAGGCTGGAGTGTCTGTTGTAGAGTAAATTTTTAATAATAGTTTACTGATCTATAGTTGTACTGCTGAAGATAATATTGCCTTTTTTCCCTCACAGATAATAATACTAGATCTTAGAATGGCATGCTTAATTGTACATTTTAATTGTAAATAATATTACAACTTTGTTCTCAATAGAGCAAAGCATAATTATTATATGAGATTGTCTCTCCATCATGAGGGTTGGGAGGGGAAGATAAACTTTAATAAGTTGAGTTGAGGAAACTATGTGTCTGAGAGGCCAGAGGACCTCATATTTACTTAGTGGCAGAACAAAGGTCAGAACCAGTTCTCCTGATAGCCAGTGGTGTATTTAGTTTCTTATTTGAAGGGAGAAGGCAAAACACAAAGGCTTGGAAAGTTCAGATGTGGTACCATTCTATGCTTGTACTTCAAGTGTTTTGGCAGGTATACCTGCGGGAGGAGAAGGATATATTCCCTTGTCTGCCATTTGTGGTTTATAAGATATGGCATTGCCTTTAAAATGAAATAGAAACTTCTGTCAAGCAAATGTTTCCTGATGCCCCTGTTCTTCTATTTAATTGTTTTCTTTCATTATTTTTACTTAACAAGAATTAAAACAATACAGTTATATAACTTACTATATCCACCTAGTCCTAGTTTTCTTTTAGAGGTAACCATGGTTAGTGGACGATGAAGATCCTTTCAGACTTCAGTTAAGCAAACATAAACTCTCTCTTTGCCTTTCCACATCCATTTCCAGAACTGTCTCATAAAACCTTTCCATTCTCCCTCTGGCTGCCAGCTGGATATTGATGCTCAAGGCAACATTGGGAGCCATGTTGCTGAAGAGTCTATCAGCCTGGACCCCTGAATGACTATGTGGAGCAAGCCCTCCTGGAGACTGGATGGTAAATGAGCAAGAAATAACTCTCTATTATGCTGAACCACTGGAATTGTAGGGCTTATTCATTTCAGCAGCTATCACAACCTTAGTTAGATCAGAGGATCAATTTGTTGTGGCTGGAGTGAACTGGACATTGTTTGCTACTTTTTGGCATTAAAAAGTGCTATAGAGAAGTTTAAAGACAATCTTATTTGTCCTCCCTGGCTTGGTCCTTGCTTATTATATTTACTTAAGGGTAAACTCAGCCACCCCAGAAATGATGATGCTCTTGACAATGCCTCATTCAGTATGTTAAACATGAGAATACAGAATAAGTCTTTTGAAATTGGCTGTCTTGTATAAAACATGCAGAATTTTTTTTAAAGGTGAGATAAAGAACTATCTAAAAGTAAAAAGCCTATACTTCCTTTTCTGGAATCTCTTTCCATTCCTGAAAATGCAAAGCAGACCAGCTACCAATGTATAGATTCTTTTTTTTTTAGATTTTTTTTTTATTCTTATGTTAATCCCCATACATTACATCATTAGTTTTAGATGAAGTGTTCCATGATTCATTGTGCACAACACCCAGTGCTCCATGCAGAATGTGCCCTCCTCAATACCCACCACCAGGCTGTATAGATTCTTGTATAGAGGCAACATGGATATTGTCAAGATAAACCAGTTCTGGGGCGCCTGGGTGGCTCAGTCGGTTAAGCGACTGCCTTCGGCTCGGGTCATGATCCTGGAGTCCCGGGATCGAGTCCCACATCGGGCTCCCTGCTCGGCAGGGGGTCTGCTTCTCCCTCTGACCCTCTCCCCTCTCGTGTTCTCTCTCTCATTCTCTCTCTCTCTCTCAAATAAATAAAATCTTAATAAATAAATAAATAAATAAATAAACAAACAAACAAACATAAAATCCTGGGCGCCTGGGTGGCTCAGTTGGTTAAGCGACTGCCTTCGGCTCGGGTCATGATCCTGGAGTCCCGGGATCGAGTCCCACATCGGGCTCCCTGCTCGGCAGGGGGTCTGCTTCTCCCTCTGACCCTCTCCCCTCTCGTGTTCTCTCTCTCATTCTCTCTCTCTCTCTCAAATAAATAAAATCTTAATAAATAAATAAATAAATAAATAAATAAATAAATAAATAAACAAACAAACAAAAAATCCTGGGCGCCTGGGTGGCTCAGTGGGTTAAGCGACTGCCTTCGGCTCAGGTCATGATCCTGGAGTCCCGGGATCGAGTCCTGCATCGGGCTCCCTGCTCGGCAGGGAGTCTGCTTCTCCCTCTGACCCTCCTCCCTCTCATGCTCTCTGTCTCTCATTCTCTCTCAAATAAATAAATAAAATCTTTAAGAAAAAAAAAAGAAAAAAACTCTTCCTCTGGGGCGCCTGGGTGGCTCAGTCGGTTAAGCGACTGCCTTCGGCTCAGGTCATGATCCTGGAGTCCCGGGATCAAGTCCCGCATGGGGCTCCCTGCTCGGCAGGGAGCCTGCTTCTCCCTCTGACCCTCCCCCCTCTCATGCTTTCTCTCTCTCATTCTCTCTCTCGCAAATAAATAAATAAAATCTTTAAAAAAAAAAAAAAGAAAAACAAGCAAGTATGGGCGCCTGGGTGGCTCAGTTGGTTAAGCGACTGCCTTCGGCTCAGGTCATGATCCTGGAGTCCCGGGATCGAGTCCCACATCGGGCTCCCTGCTCAGCAGGGGGTCTGCTTCTTCCTCTGACCCTCTCCCCTCTCATGCTCTCTCTCTCTCTTTCTCTCTCTCAAATAAATAAATAAAATCTTTAAAAAAAAAAAAAAGATAAACCAGTTCTGTTAATGTGATTGCACATCCAAGGGAAAAAATGTATATATATATTTCTCTGCCAACCTCCTAAAAGCTTAGAATCGAGTCATTTCTGATTTCACGTATTTCATGTATTTTGGTAGGCCACAGTGAACCTCAAAACCTTACAGAGGACTAAGCCTTTTGTCGGATCTAAGGAATTGCAGTGGTTGAGGAAAGTTCAAGCCAGATCCACTGCAGTTTAAAACCATTTTCCCCCTTGGAGTAGAGTATATGATCGAGAATAAATGTGCTTCAAAACAGTTCTCGGGTCTTCTGTTTTTCATAGAGTCCAAGATGTACAGAATCTAAAGTTCCTCCTCAAAAATAATTCAGTTACTCTTGCTGCCTCAAGATAAAGTGCGAACTTCTCAACGGGATGGATATGTTCTTCTTGTTTGGGCTCTTGTCGACCTCCCACGTGCTGCAGCTTGTGTTCAGTGCACCAGCCACTCTGAACCCCTTCAGTCTCCTCAGGGTGCTGTGCTCACTTTACCTCCAGCCTTTGCAGGTACAGCTCCCGCTACCCAACTCCCCGACAACTCCTTTTCCTTAGCTTACTTCTAGTCTGTCCTCAAGTCTCTGCTTCGGCGTCATTTCTGACTGTTCTCCCAGGCCAGGTTAGGCGAGCTTCCTGTCTCTGCCACCAATACTTTATCAGAACACTTCACACATTATAGTATAATTGAAGTTCAGTGGTTGGTGTCCTTTAGATTGGAGTCTTGGTAAGGTTAGGGTGCATCGTTCAATGACCCTAAACCTAGAGCCTAATATGAAGCATAGTAGGTGGTCAGAAATATTAAATGAAGGTTGCTGAATCTAGAATAGATCTCCTCTGATGTTCTAGTCCACCACAACATATAGGAGCTGATGCTACTGACCCACCAACCACAGGACACTTATCTGGAATAGTCTTATTCCCCAGGATCACTTGAGGCCAAAAGAACGGAAGAGGTAGAAGAGTTGAGCATAAAGTATGGTTTTCCTTTGTACAGCACATAACTATGCTCAGTGGTCAAATTCATGCCCCTGAGCTCATCACTCTTAAGCTCTAACTAACTGGAATAGGGTAATAGAGACTGACTCTGTAAATGATCCAAAAGGATACAAACACAATTGAAAAAAAACAAACCTCTCTGATTTTGATAACGGAAGCCTGCAGATCTGTTCCTTCTAACCTGAAATGCAGGACAAACAATCCCGCAGCAGCAGGCCAGACCCTGCTCCTCCGCCCAACCATCACTGCTCAGCAGCATGCGCCTCGATTTGGGAATTTCTCTTTGAACTAACATTTGATTTGCTCCCGAGTATCTCTGAGCTTGTACACTTTGCCCTCTCTCAAAGGTGGTTGTCGACATTAGTCTCCCTGTCCCCAGTCTTAAACGTGGTCTTGTATTTCTAATCATGATCTTCTGCTATCACCTTCTTGCCTCAAGCTTCACTTTTGTCTTACTAAAGTCAGTCTCAACCCAAGCCGTCCTCCACATGGCCAGGTCTGAGCTGCTGCCAGTCCTACCGCCATTATCAGGGCTCCTGCTGACGCAAGGCCCCAGGACTTGGTTCTCAGTTACCATAGTGCTTCCAGGACGACTTAGGGCATTAAAGTATGGGAGAGGGCTCCGGGGCCAGAGGGAATGCTTACCTATTACTATTTCTCTGGCATGTAAGAGTATAGCAGAACCAGAGAGACTTTAAGAAAATGGCATGGCAGCTGGGATTTTTCTCAGGTCACACACCGATGTAGAAATAGAGACGCCCTCAGCTCCACCCCCTAGTTCACCAGTGCATTCTCTGCTATGGGACCCGATGAAGAAGGCTTCTGCAAGGGGTGTTGGCTGGGGTCAGCCTACCAAAAAGTATTGTTGAGAGTCTTCAGGACAAAAGAAGGAAGCAAGGATGCTTTGGGGTTATTCACCTTAATTACACATGCAAATGCCCAGAGACCCATGGCTACTTTCTTACCTTGTGTAACTGGTAATACTGGAAGCCACCGATTCCACCTTGTTCCTCTGCAGTCCAGAGCACCAAACGCAGAGTCCTCTTTGGTCGCAGCCCTGGGAAAAAATAATAAAATAAGTGATCCTTCAGTTGATTTTAAATTTTTTAGGAAATGGCGAGGCCTCTCATCTGCATTCTGGAGGCAGGAGGACATCAGAGGCACGCATATTCACCTCTTGCTGATGAGGCTGCTGCCTGATTCAGAGTGTGGCTGACACAGCAAAGAAGCGCCCTCAGGGCTGATCTCCAGGGCAGGTTAATGGAGAAAGGGGTTATGCAAATGCTGCCTACAGCCCAGGAAGTGAGAGCCTCTAATCATATCCTGAACTGACAACCTGCCCAGCAGAACCCAGTGGATGGCCAAGGTCAGGGGAATGTTAGATTGCATATAGAAGATGCAGTTGGCAGGACTCTAGTCAGATCAGGGAATCTTCCAATGATAACTGAAACCCAATCATTTGGCTCTACTTCCAGATAAGGTGTGTAGGGGATTGCTACTTAGTCTCAGTCCACAAGGATAGCTAGCTGCCCATGCTATCCTCGGTGACGTCATGGCTGCCAAGCAGAGGCGATGTTTATGGCTACCCATGGTCATTTCTTCTACTATTTGGAAATACAAGGTTATTCACTTAAGGTCAATGAAAACAAATGCAATGCAGATGACATTTTACTTACCTTATTACTTCACAAACAGCTTGGTGACGATTTTGTTGACTTGGGGAATACAAATTTGTATCTTGGAAGTTATTAAAGTTGTTGGCAGATCTGGCACATCTAGAACCACTTTTGAGTGACTATGTCTGAGCCCAGGTTTAGGATGTAGGCTGACCTGAGTTCTCATTAAAGCCTGGGTGAGAAATTTTGGTATCGAATTGCTCAGAAAATGCCCTTGATGCTTTCTCCTAAGTCCATCTGGAACCCAGCTTCTCACCTGTGCTAGCACCGTGGTACAAACCCCACTGTCTTTTGCCCGGGCTGCTGTCACCCCCTAACTGCTCCCTCTGCAGCAGTCTCTCACCCCTGCAGCCAGAGGAAGCTTGTAAGAGTGAAACTGGATCGTGTCAGTTCTCTGTTCAAAACCTCCCATAGCCAGAATGTAAGCTCCCAGAAGGCAGGGGTTTATCTTTCTTGGTTCCCTATGATGCCCCTAGTGCCCAGCCTGTTTGGCCACATTAGATGTCCATTAAATAGGTACTGAATGAATAAATGAACCCAAAGCTTGGTATGTCACTTAGAATAAAGTTCAAAGCCCTCCATCACTTTCCCAGCTTCATCTCCTAAAACTCCAGCTAGTTCACTCCTAGGCAAGCTGTTACAGATGAAAAAGGCAGACAGGGGCACCTGGGTGGCTCAGTCGTTAAGCGTCTGCCTTTGGTTCAGGTCATGATCCCAGAGTCCTGGGATCGAGCCCCACATTGAGCTCCCTGCTCAGTGGGGAGCCTTCTTCTCCCTCTCCCTCTGCCTCATCCCCCCGCTTGTGCTCTCGCTCTCTCTCTCAAATAAATAAATAAATAAATAAAGGCAGACAGCTGGTAAGCCCTGCAATCATTAGGCACTAGCTGTGTAACCACTGGGAAACTGATCTATCTGAAATTCAGCCTCCTTATCTGAAAAGAAGAGAGAATATTATATATGTATTCCATAACTATTTCATGGGATCGTTGTGAGGATTAATGAGATGTGATAATGTACAGAAGACAATTCTGTGCTTGGCATGTGACAGACATTTAATAAATAAACTATGAAACTACATAATGGATATCTAGGCCCAGAGCACACAGTTGTACCCCTAGAGAGAAGGGGTATCTAAACACTCAGACAGAAAGTTCTTTCATAAGCATTTTGGTGCCTGCTGACAAAGAATCCTGAAGTGCCCACTGCTTGCTCCAGAGTCAAACTAGCTGCTCACATTCAAAGCACAAACTTGTTGTGGGAAGAAGTCTACTCAGTGTATCCAAAAATCACAATATGTGCTCCCTCTCTCAGAGAAATGTGCTGAATGCCGATTTAAATCGAATGACATTTTGCTTGCAACATAGAAACAATTAGAAAGGATAAAGTGCAAATGAAAATTCTGAACTTTTTTTAATCCATAAAAAGGAAAAAAATACACTTCCTTTTTACATTATCTCTGAACTTACCAGCAAAACAGTACCAAATTATTAAAATGATGGAATTCTCTCAATAAGGATAAAGGCATAGTTTGCACAGGTTAGAAAAAAATAATCATTTTTTTTTAAAGATTTTATTTATTTTTTGACAGAGAGAGACACAGCGAGAGAGGGAACACAAGCAGGGGGAGTGGCAGAGGGAGAAGCAGGCTTCCCACAGACCAGGGAACCTGATGTGGGGCTCGATCCCAGGACCCTGGGATCATGACCTGAGGCGAAGGCAGATGCTTAACGACTGAGCCACCCAGGCGTCCCCCCTCAAAATAATCATTTTTTAAAAGCAAACGCCCTGAATATCCCTATAGATTTGGTGCTCCACCTGCAAATCATTACTGTCCAGGATGAGTCTCCTTCATATTTCAGATCAGCCAGATGGTCAATGATGTTATATTAAGATAATAAAGAAGTAATCAGTTTGAAATGAGGAATGCTAAGGCCTCCGAACAACAACAGCATAGTGTTGGTGCACAGCTGTCTCTAAAAAGACAAATGGAGCCTCTTTCAAGGCCTTGAGAAAGAAGCTCAGTCCCTGTCAGCACGGAACACGAGTGCCTCCCCCACGTTCAAGGTGAAGGGCCAGAAAGAAGAGGTTAGGAAAGCAGTGGTTAAGCAAATGCTTGCCTGATCTCCGAAGTCTCTGCTCTGATATTCTGGTTGTCTCTAAACCTAAGACAAATGCATGGGACTTTATTCAAAGACTAGACCCTCGTCCTAGTGAGGAGTTCGGGGGCCCCAAGCCACCCGAGTCTGTAGATGGGCAGTGTGGGGCACAGAAAGATGCCGGCCATGAATTTGAGGAAGTGTTGTTTGCTTCTCTGCTCTGCTACTTTTGGTTCTGTGATGTCAGGCTAGTTACCTAGTCTCTCAGGACCTCAATTTCTTCATCTCTACAATAAAGAAAATGGTCATTGGCTCATGGGATTGTGGATTTTTTTTAAAGACTTTATTTTACTATTTATTTGAGAGAGAGAGGGCGAGTGGGGGGGCACAGAAGGAGAGGGAGAAGCAGACTCCCCGTTGAGCAGGGAGCAGGACGCGGAGCTTGATCCCAGGACCCGGGATCATGACCTGAACAGAAGGCAGATGCTTAACCCACTGAGCCACCAGGCGCCCCGCCTTATGGGATTGTCAAGAAAATTAAATGAGACGAGGCAAATATATATTAAGCACCGTAGGCCCATAGTAGGTTTTCAAGAATTGTTAGTTAGCTTCTTTCTATATCATCCCACACAACTTCTCAGTCTGTGCCAGTAATCACCAGGGAGATCTTGTGGGAAAGCCAGGAGAGAGGCATAGTCCTCATTCCTTATCCTTAGGAACCGGAGAATATCTTTGTTTATTCAGAATGTATACTCAGCCAAGGGAAAAGTACAAATTTCATCTAACTTTGTAGAAAAACACATACCACCTCTTTCAGTAAGGAATGCTTCCTCATCCCAACATAGAGCATATCCAAATCCCAGTAAACTGGAACAGGTTCCTCACTTTTTAAAAAGTGAAGGCCAATCAGAATTGTTAGTTTCTGAATAAAGTCAAAGAGCTGGATAAGTCTGAAAGCTGAACCAAGCTGATGTAAGAATATCTATATTTTTCATCTTTAAAGGATACAATTTATTGTGGATCTCAAATCCAAACTAGATTTAAAAGCTAAGAAAGAATTCTAAGTATATTAAATAGCAACAACAATAATAAAGCAAAATCACCAAGAGCAACACAACACAGTGATAGGGGGCCAAACACAGGGATTTCATTTTGTAGGAGAACTGGGGTAAACGAAGAGCTCAGTAGTGATCCTGACTCACAACCCTGGCTCTGGCTTGAGCTACCCAGCACTGGCCCCCAGCAAGCACGAGAAAGAAAGTGTCAGAAATGGAGGTGAGTGGCAGGACTCTGGGCTCAGCTGTCCAGGAGTCAGGTCTCATTGGGGTTTTGTCAGAAGACAGGCAATTAGTTCCCCTATGGATGTATATTAACTTTGCAGAGATCTCTCGACCTCCTGGAATTTCTATTAAGAACTCCAGATAGTGCAGCACACATTTTACAGCATATGGTTTTCCTCTTTAAAAAACATAAACTGCTGATAATGTGTCAGAATTTTCTCTTGTTTATGAAATATGATACACATGCATTTCACTTCCATTTTACTGAGGAAAGTAATAATGCTAATGGGAAAACAGTGCCTAGGAAAAAAGGTCAAAACAATCTGGTTGGGCTTTATTTTTCATTATTATCAAACTTAAAGATGAGAAGGCTGAGAGGTGACTTTCATTAAACTGATAAACTGAAAAGGTCAGTTGGTTGTCCCACACTTGCACCGAGGGGGCAAAGCAAAATAAACTCACATTAATCCAGCCTTGGAGATAGCTTTCCCAAATCATGAATGCTAGCGAATGCTATTTGTTAACAATGTGTATTGACCCAAATGCTCATTTACTGTTCAGTTTCAATCCCTCCAGAATTATGTGTGAGTACTGTTCTCCCTTCTGTGACCTAACTTTGCAGAGAAAATACAACTTTCTCTTGCAGTAAATACTGTATACTCATTTTCCATATAAATGCACTAGTTCATAAATACATTTGTTGCCCAGCTCTCATTTATCAATAGTGCAGAAGAGTGCCTATATGTAGAGATTTCTATTCCTGCAATAAACCTGATTAATGTAATATTTGAGGTATAGATAAAATAATGAAATATTAGCATCTAAATTGAATGAGAATAGGCAGTAAGTAAGTGTAGTGGTTGAACACATGGATTTGGGGGTCAAGACCTATTTCTAACTTGGCTAAGTTACATAATTTGTCATATGGTATATAAGCACATTATCGGTTTTTTAAAATAGGAGGCATAAAAAAATAAAAATAAATAAAATAGGAGGCATGGTTGG